ACTTTTCGCAACGTTTGACAAACATTGCAAAAGGCTTTGCTTTTGCATTGCAAAAAGACTTTTCGCAACGTACGTTTGACAAACGTTGCAAAAGGCTTTTCTTTTGCCACATTTGATAAACATTGCGAAAAATTTCACTTCCATACAAACCCTAATAATACAACCACTCTATTTCTCCCTCTTTCTCTCCTCGGTCTCCTCTCATGTCTCTCTGTATAGTCTCCCTCTTTCTCTCCTCAATCACAACTTCCAGCCATACCCATGACGTCGGACCTACACCAATCGATGCCCCTTGCTCAGACGACCATAATCAAGGTCTCTATTCATCCCAATCATCCCTCCAGCTGCATGAATCTTTTCCTGAAAGTTGCCCAGTCACGACTGTCGTGAAGTAGATTCCGAAAAATGGCGATTCCTCCTCCGTCCAATGTACCCATGGTCGCGAACCACCTGGGCACCCTTCCTCATCCTCTGGTGCACACAACCATGCCAGGGACCTATAGCTGTTTATAACCACAGTACATATCTCGCCTTTGCTTCATCTCACCCTTTCCTTAAGCAGCGGGAGTAAACCCTAGAGACGCTTTCGGTAATTGCCAATCTCTACTTTGCTTAACTTTGTATATATACATACGAATGCTTATGCAATTTATGTATTATGATGTTTTCAATTTTTTATACGCAGTGAAAATGGCGACTGTTCTGGGGCAGCTGATATTGGAGATTGTGAAGAAGAACAATTCGTTTTTGGTGAAGGAGTTTGGGAATGGAGCTGCCGGAGTTGTGTTCAGCAAGGAGCCTAACAATCTCCACTCCTACAAGCATTTCGGTTAGTTTGCACTAATCACTTTATTTAGCAGTAAATTTTTGTTCCTTGTTTCAAAGCAGTGAATTTGGATTTTTATGTACTTGTGTTGATCAAGATGTTTTGTTGGCTCTCAAATGGGCAAAATGAGTCCTTCGAGAATAGTTTGGGCTATATTTGTTAAGACCTGTTCGTTATTATTATGCGAAAAATTTTGCAGTTGCTAAGATTATTTGGGATATAATTTCGTGGTGGCCTAGAATATGTACGGGAGGGATATTCTTTAATATAAAGCTTGGGGACATCAAAGAACCTAATTGGCATGAAACTTCATTTTTTCTTTTAAGAAGATGATTTACAATATCAATTTTGTTTAGTTGCGTGGAAAATGTTGAGTTGTAGCTTTTTTATTTATGTTCTGCTAGTTATTGTCTTGCTAAGGTTTCATTTTCTTGTCTATGAAAATGATTGATAATGGAAATAACAGACTCTGTAATAATCATGCTGTTATTATACTCACTGGAATCTTCGTCGAGCCAAAACTCAGTCGCATATTTTACGTAGTGGAGAACTGGCAGCACTACGTAGGATTTGCATATGGGATTCAGAGTGGCAGATTTGGTGCAGGGCTAAAGCAACTGGGGATTCAAAATCTAGGACTTGTGTTTGTCATATGCTTGAATGTTGTAATGACAACCTTAATTTGCTTATTGATTAAGGTTGTGGTTCCACTTAGGTTGGATGAAGAGGCTCTGCATATGGGAGATGATTCAGTGCATGGAGAGGAAGCCTATCCACTGTATGGAGAGGGGAAAAGGAGGGAGAATTTCAAGGAAAATACAGTCTATAGATTTGCATGAATAAAGGCTGCAGTATAAATACACTTACTCTATATTAATAAGAGTTTGTTTAGTACCAAGAATGGGACATAAGAAAACAAGAATTAATGTGATTTCAGGTATTTTTCTCTTTAATAGTGTTCATTCAATATGATTCAGTACCTGTTTGGTTTAGCTTTTTAAAATTATATGCTGGTCAAATTTCATTAACCACAGATATTATAGAACTCATAACTTTTATTATCAACTTTTTAACTACACATTCTAAAAAATAGTTGGACAAATGATTATACTACATTTTAACTACACATCTTTCTATGGATTTTACTGTATATCATTTATAAAATTCTATTTGCCCTATTACAATAAATATTTCACAAATTACCAAAAAATTTTCTTCTGTTGTGCAGTAGTCTTGCATTTAGCAATCTCTTTACCTTCCCCATTCCTTCATCCAAACAATCTACCATCAAAACACATGAATCCTCTTGTTTGGAGTTACTGTAAAAACTATAGATCTCTTTCACTCTAATGAGCTTCTTTTTTACTCCATTGCAGTATATTTGATTTGGTTATATTGGCATTTTTTTTTTTTTTGAGTTATAGTGTTCTCTCTTTCTTATGTATTGTGGAAAACAAGTACACTTTTTTTAACCTTTCCATATGGGGAATTCACATATTTCTGGCCAATGAAAGATTTGAGGCTATTTATCCAACTCTTAAACAGGTTTCTGTTGCTAGTTCCCCTGGAAGCAAGACAATGAAGCAAGTCCCCCAGCAAATACAAACTTTAGCTGTTAAAGCAGCTGGACAAGGTTAGTTCAACTTCAAAGTGACATTTTATCATCAATCCTCTATTTGGATATAGTCTGTTCAGGAATTTGTTGCTGTATTTACGAAATATG